GAGTCTAACTGACCCCCGAAAGACAACCAAGTCCACCCTGGTCCAAGTCAAAGTCCTGGTCAAAGTCAACCTTCCAGGTCAACCCTACTCGCCGAGTCACCCTACTGACTCGCCGAGTTCATAATGTTCAGATTCCCCATTCATGATCACTCGCCGAGTCAGTCCATGACTCGCCGAGTCTACCGATTTCTGAGTCCAGACCTGTCCAACTCACTGAGTCTCCACCCGACTCACTGATTTGAGTCACAACTTGAAGGGTTTGGGGTTTCGCGACCTGACTCGCCGAGTCCAAGAACAGACTTGCCGAGTAAGGCAATCTTCATGCTCTTCATGACGACGCGATTGTTCATCCACTCGTCGAGTTTCTCCACAACTTCATGCTACTCGCCGAGTCCACTCAAAGGACTCGCCGAGTCCCTTCAGTTCTCCTTACATGCAGAGGATTTTTGAGTCATGTATGGATCCAAACTGTAGATCTACCCTTCCCAAGCCTATTCCACACGTAAAGTTGCAAACTTTACGTGTAGAGAAGGAGATCTAAGAAAAACATGCCAAAAACTAGGGCTTAAGGCGAAAAGACTCCATGATCCACTCAAGGGCTGATACTTTACGGAATTATAGACCAAAACAAGCATGGATCTGAGGTAGCAACCTCAGATCTGGACCTTAAGCTCGAGATTGATTTCAAACATGGCTTAAAATCCCCAAAACTCATAACCAAGGAAAACCTGGAGGAGAGAAACGACTTAATACCTTCAAATGCTCTGAAATGATCCCCAAACTTCGGATCCAATGCCACTCCTTGATGCTTCAAAGATTCCCACTTCTTCTTCTTCTTTAAATCACTCAAAAATGGCCAAAAGCATGAATGAGCACAATGGGGGCTTAGGGTGTGGCGTTCTGGGTATGAGAGACAGTAAAGGAGCACTAGGAAGAAGAATGAGACGATTAAATAGGCTCCAAGTCCCGGATTTAGGGTTTTCCTCGCACAGACCCTACTCGCCGAGTCGCCTTGGCCGACTTGCCGAGTTGGTCGCTTATTCCCCGACTCTGATCCCGCTCGGACTCGTCGAGTCCTTCCTTGGACTCGCCGAGTCGACCCTTAAATTAGGGCTTTTCATTCCTTTCTTGGCCTTTGATTTGAGTGTTACAACTCTCCCCCACTTAAACTAAACTTCGTCCTCGAAGTTTACTATACTCTACTGCCGGCGATCTGCCTCCAAAGCCCCACCATCCATTCCAACACCATTTGTCTAACTTTGCTGGCCTTCCGTTCAATCATTCAGACTAACGTCAATCCTTACCGATAATAATCTCGGGTGTATCCTGATGTGCACAAAAGTAACCATTAATTTTAATATTTATAACCTAACAAACTTAGACTAACTATGCACTTATAGGCAGTGTACCTAGTCAGATTACAGTATAGCTTAGGTAAGTCGGGTGTCGATCACAGGGAACGGTGGATTAATTTAATATATTTAATTATAGGTTACAGGTCACACGAAAAGAATAAAAGAAATAATTTAATAAATCTCAAACTAATAATTAATTAACCATTCTCGATAAACTAACAGGAAAGCAAATCTCTTCAGGTACTTTGGTTTAGACAAATTACACTTTAAAAACATAGACAATTGCATACACAAATTCATTTATTCATGTTCACCGATTCCTAAAATGATTAGATTCGCGTTCACTATAACTAATCCTTTAGCAAACAAGTCAATTCAAACAGTGATCAATTGGTTAAACTAACATGCTTCCTAGTGTTCAGTTCGTATCAAGCAAGACTTGTAAATATAGTTAACCAAATTAAACATTCAATTAACCTCTTGTTGATGGTCATCAAACAAGGCTCACACATTAACTTACTTATTCCCATGTTAATCCTAGTTTCACATTCGTTATTCCTAGACTTATAATCTCGATGGTCATCAAAATCATAAGAGAAAGCAATCAAGCATATGTTCATACAACTCAATTCACTTAACAATTAACAGAAAATAATCATCATTAATACATAAGGATCTTTTAACAAGCTTAGCAAGATAAATTAACACAAACAAACTATTTAATATAGCAATTAGTCTAATAATCAAAGCTTCATTCAATTATAAACACAAAGTAAAAGGTTTTTACACCCAAATCAGAAACTAAATACAGAAAAGTACCACAATGGAATGCTAAACATGGTCACGTTTGCAATCCATATGATTACCGACATGTATCCGCTCTCCAATCCTTCCGATCTCCGCTTCCGTTTTAGCTTAACGGCCTTCCGACTGCCTTCTAAACCCTCAAAACGGCTTAACAGAAGTTAATTGTCGACTAAATTAGGTTAGAAGTCGAATCCCCCCTCCTGGTTAGCTGAAAATCGATATATTTATAGTCTTTGTAGCCGACCTAAGTACGTTGGGCGTACTTAGGTTTACGCGGCACGTACTCAAGATTTACTCGCGATCAAGTCTATCCGGTGCAAGTCTGTACGCGGGGCGTACCCTTAAGGTACACGGGGCGTAATCCTCTAATTCAGCAATTTAATTCCTTTAAGCTTTGAAGTCCGGTTTCCGCTTCAGTCTTTTCTTTTGTGCTTTATCGACAACGAATAGCTGCAAAACATAATTCAAAGCATTATGAGTACTTTTTAGTTCTAAAATAGAATAAATAAGGCTAAAATATTAAGATAAAGTGCATAAAAATATATATAAAAATACACATATCAAAATACCCCACACTTAGCCTTTGCTTGCCCCCAAGCAAATTTACTTTTATTTTACCAATATTGCACTAAACAATCCATTTAAAACTCAGCCATTATGCCAAGACCTCAACGCGTACATTTGTGTCTAAAATTTTCCTAAAGTACCCCCCCATATTTTAAATACTCACAATCTTCATAAACACTCGCCCACTTTTTCCGAACAATGCTCATTTTATGCAACCCTCCGAATCCATCCGCAGAAAACCTCCTAACCTCAAGGTATTTTTAGTTGAGCAACCTAAGCATACATAATCTAGAATTACAATTTATGATACCACTATGGAGCCCTTTTAGGAATTCTTCACTTTCTTGATAATTTGATCTTTGATTTTTTTGAATTCACCACCTTATTTGATTTGATTTCTTGGTATCTTCAACTTTTTGAATTTCTTGGAATTTTGATCTTTTGATCTTCACTTTATTTGCTCCAAAATTCTTCAAACTTTTTCGTAATTCTCTCTTCTTTTTTTTACATGTACCTCTCTTTTTTCACTCAAAACCTACATGCTTAAGCAGAGGCGCTCAACCTCAACCTTTATTGGTTAATGATAATAATTTTCCTGGATACATTTCAGGTTTAGGCTGCTAAACATATTGCATCCTTCAAACCGAGCGGGTTATGTTTTTGTTCCATGATTTCACTAAAATAAGGGAAACCACAAATGCACTATAACGTATATTGGCTCAACTAAACATTTGAATTCTCATCGGATCATTTCATACAATATTAGCAAAATTTTAAATTATCACTAGATTTTTCTAAATTAAACTATTATTTCAAGTTTTCTTTTAAATTTTTAAATTTCCCTAAATCTAGCAATTTCCAACTATTATTTCATTTTTATAATTTACTTTTACCGACCCCTACCCCACACTTATTTCATACAATGCCCTCATTGTATGCTAAAACAAATTAAGAACATAAAAAGGGAGAAAAAGGAACAAACTCCCCTAGGTAGTTGTGGCGAGATCGAAAGGGGCTGCTACAGGTTGCTTCAAATATTGCTGAAAAACTGAACACTGGAACTGCTGCTTCTGAATTTGCCGTAAAATAAAATCAAGACCGCCATCTTCAAAAAAAAAATGTGGTGCAAAAGATCGCAAACAAATGCAATGTATAAAAAATATGACGTGGAAAAGTGTCGACCACGTCGTCTCGTCAAAAATGACATGCTCTACTCGCGATGAAAAATCCCCCATAACATAGGAAAGTGTCAACCATGTCGTGGCAGTCGGAACAATACTTCTTCCTCGCGTCGAAATACAACTCTAACAAAGATGCACCCCACACTTATAACAAATTGTGGGTCTTGACTATAATCTTCGACTCTCAAACCGCTCTCTCTAGCAACAGTCGGACCTAGCTGCTGAACTTACTGCCAGCTTCCTAAGGGCGAATATTCTGCAGAAATCTAAACAACCATAGAGCATCAACATGGAAAACAAAAGTAAAACAAACTAAATCAAAGTTTAATTACAAACCAAATACTACTAAACTAAAAATAACACAAAACAAATAATAAACAAAATAAAAAGGATCACTCGTCATCTCCATCATCATGTGGCTGTGTCCCATAAGTACCGGCCCCATCAAATCGTGACTGGAATGGTGGTGGAAAGGGAACCGAATACTGAAACCCCTGGTGGGCAAAGAATGCATTCAGCGCATCCCATACCACTGCTGTTGCCTGTCCACATGTGCAACATACTCGCTAAGGTGCTGGACCCTCATGTCAAGACAATCAATACCCTGAGCCAAGTAGCGCATATCAATCTCCCGCTCAAGTCCCTGCTGCGCTCCCCGAGGAGCAGGTCTACGCCGCTGGACCCGTCTCGGCTGTGGCTCGGCGGCACCCTCCTTATCTGCCACATCATCTGCTCGAACCCTCAAAACACCATCACCACCCCGCTCTAATACGCGCATCGACTCCAACAACTGAAGACTCATCGTCCTCATGTCGTGAAACACCATCGATCTCGTGATCTCACGTGTCAGCAACTGATATGATCGAGCTAACCGTGTGATAAAATGCCCTCCGCATATCGGGCTGTCCCCCCGAAGTCCCTTGGCCCTCCGTCCCAAATATGCAGCTAAAGCAACTGGAAGGTTCAGGTGCCTCCATGGAGTTACTAGTGCCCATAGGAAATATAGGTCCGTCGAAGGCACTCTCTCACTGTTCTTGTGATGCGTGAGAGACATAGAAATCAACCGGTGCAACATTCGGTATGTAGTAGACTAAATCATCCCCCCTCGAGCAGTAGATGGTGTACAAACTGCCCCTGTAATCTCGGCCCAAAAAGTGTTCTCGTTATAGTCATATGGCCGCTCCGTAAGACAATCAGCAAGGAATGCCAGGAAGTGGACACTCCTCATCTCATCCGCTGTGTAAATACCCACCCGAGTCGCAAGCTCTATCACACTGCATTCCCGGTTCACTCCTCCCAGTCTGAAAGCAAAGGCTGTCCTATCATCGATTGCCTTCCTAGGATCATAGGAAACTGTAGCATAGAACTCCAGCAAAAACTCCCGATATACAGGATCCTGGATCCTGAACAAACGCGCCCATCCCTGGCACACAAACAAATCCACACCACTCGCGTCCGAGTGCGTGTATTGCAAAAATCCCTGGATCAATGCAGCTAGTCCAGTCTTGGTAGCCAATTCCCAATCGAATGATGGTGCTATATCAATCTCTTTGGTGAGAAGCAAACTCAAGTTGGTGACATAACGCGCCCGGGTAGCATCCTTCAGCGTTTGCGAAAATTGTAAAAAACGATGATCGATCACATCCTCGGGTGGGTTGGTTCTTTGCGTCCTTCGATCCATTATCTGCACATATTAACACAAAACCAAACCAATTATCACAGCATTAATAGCTTTTTAAAACCACAAAAAAAAATGAAACTGGATAGGGTCAGTACGCTGGGCGTACATCCAGCGTACGCTGGACATACGTCCAGGCTTGCGATTCTGTGTCCTGGTCCGTTTGCTTGTGCTAAAATCATAAACCATATCCATATTCACCTAATTTAAGTATATACGCAGGTGGTCTAGTAAGGTCAAACACATGGGGGAACTAACCTTGAGGTCCAAGGCAGTAGAAAACAAAAAAATCAGAGCCACCCTTTAAACTTATGACCAAAAAGATAAATCAATCCCCTATTAGTTCCTTATTTATTCAAGATTGGCAAACAATTAACAGAAAAACTTCATAGGGCAGTCAATCGATTTTTTATTAGGGCGTACGCTTGGCGTGCGACCCCAAGCTTTAATCGATGGATCTGGGACGGGATTAAGACAAAATTAGGTCCTAGGGTTTAATCAATTGGCAGCAATCGATCCATTCAAGTGGTAATCAGAACACATAATAGCGAAATCGGCCCTAATTCAAGAACACTATGAGCCCTAGATTTCGAGCAAAAGCTAAATGCAGCTTATTTCATCAAATTAAACATAAGTCCAAGCTATTGAGTATCCGAAATACTTACTTGTGTGTTGGATTTAACAAGAAATGGAAAAAATTGAGGATCTTTAGGAGGCTTCTTCCGTCACAGCGTATGCGAGAAAGGAGTTGGGTTTGAAAATAACAGCGAAGTCAAAGGGTCAAGAGATATTTACCTGGTCGCTTATGTACGCGGGGCATAACACAAGGGTACGCGGGGCGTACCTCAACCCCCTAAAATGTTCATTCGCGATCCGAGGCACATTACGCATGGCGTAATTAAACTTACGCGGGGCGTAATTTGTATTTTTCAAATTTTTCCTACCCTTTGATTTAACTTCCTTTTCTTTCTAATTATTTAATTAAGGGACGTAAAACATAATTTTTTTTTCTTCTTTTTAATTTCTTTAGCTAATGATGACTTCACGATGAGTGATAAAAAAAAATTGAGATGTCATAATCACTTATCTTTGTCAAGATCAAACAACAATGGTTGATCAAAAACCTTTGCATGCAAGAATTGGTTTGCGAAAACACCCATTTTCGGGACCCGTTAGAATATTTCCTTTGTTTTCCTTGTACCTTTAACTAGAAGCGGAACAAGAAGTGACCTAACTAGTCAAGAACAGCAAGAGCTCGGTCTTCCACTTAACCACCACAATACGCCTTGCTATACTACACCTTATGGATTGAGTTGGACAAATCAACAAAGTAGTAGGCTAAGCAGGTCAAGAATTCCCTAATCGCTTTCATTCTCGAAACCCATGCAAAAAGTAAAGTCAAGCAATGTGTACAATCCCAAATTCCTTCAATATAAAAACAAGAACCTTCCCGACAAGTGAAATGATATCATCGAAAATCAAACTAAAAATAAAAACTAACTAAAAACAAATAACGAATAATCAAATAAACTAAATTAATGACAAACCGTTCCCCGGCAACGGCGCCAAAAACTTGATGTGCACAAAAGTACCCATTAATTTTAATATTTATAACCTAACAAACTTAGACTAACTATGCACTTATAGGCAGTGTACCTAGTCAGATTACAGTATAGCTTAGGTAAGTCGGGTGTCGATCACAGGGAACGGTGGATTAATTTAATATATTTAATTATAGGTTACAGGTCACACGAAAAGAATAAAAGAAATAATTTAATAAATCTCAAACTAATAATTAATTAACCATTCTCGATAAACTAACAGGAAAGCAAATCTCTTCAGGTACTTTGGTTTAGACAAATTACACTTTAAAAACATAGACAATTGCATACACAAATTCATTTATTCATGTTCACCGATTCCTAAAATGATTAGATTCGCGTTCACTATAACTAATCCTTTAGCAAACAAGTCAATTCAAACAGTGATCAATTGGTTAAACTAACATGCTTCCTAGTGTTCAGTTCGTATCAAGCAAGACTTGTAAATATAGTTAACCAAATTAAACATTCAATTAACCTCTTGTTGATGGTCATCAAACAAGGCTCACACATTAACTTACTTATTCCCATGTTAATCCTAGTTTCACATTCGTTATTCCTAGACTTATAATCTCGATGGTCATCAAAATCATAAGAGAAAAGCAATCAAGCATATGTTCATACAACTCAATTCACTTAACAATTAACAGAAAATAATCATCATTAATACATAAGGATCTTTTAACAAGCTTAGCAAGATAAATTAAACACAAACAAACTATTTAATATAGCAATTAGTCTAATAATCAAAGCTTCATTCAATTATAAACACAAAGTAAAAGGTTTTTACACCCAAATCAGAAACTAAATACAGAAAAGTACCACAATGGAATGCTAAACATGGTCACGTTTGCAATCCATATGATTACCGACATGTATCCGCTCTCCAATCCTTCCGATCTCCGCTTCCGTTTTAGCTTAACGGCCTTCCGACTGCCTTCTAAACCCTCAAAACGGCTTAACAGAAGTTAATTGTCGACTAAATTAGGTTAGAAGTCGAATCCCCCCCTCCTGGTTAGCTGAAAATCGATATTTATAGTCTTTGTAGCCGACCTAAGTACGTTGGGCGTACTTAGGTTTACGCGGCACGTACTCAAGATTTACTCGCGATCAAGTCTATCCGGTGCAAGTCTGTACGCGGGGCGTACCCTTAAGGTACACGGGGCGTAATCCTCTAATTCAGCAATTTAATTCCTTTAAGCTTTGAAGTCCGGTTTCCGCTTCAGTCTTTTCTTTTGTGCTTTATCGACAACGAATAGCTGCAAAACATAATTCAAAGCATTATGAGTACTTTTTAGTTCTAAAATAGAATAAATAAGGCTAAAATATTAAGATAAAGTGCATAAAAATATATATAAAAATACACATATCAAAATACCCCACACTTAGCCTTTGCTTGCCCCCAAGCAAATTTACTTTTATTTTACCAATATTGCACTAAACAATCCATTTAAAACTCAGCCATTATGCCAAGACCTCAACGCGTACATTTGTGTCTAAAATTTTCCTAAAGTACCCCCCCATATTTTAAATACTCACAATCTTCATAAACACTCGCCCACTTTTTCCGAACAATGCTCATTTTATGCAACCCTCCGAATCCATCCGCAGAAAACCTCCTAACCTCAAGGTATTTTTAGTTGAGCAACCTAAGCATACATAATCTAGAATTACAATTTATGATACCACTATGGAGCCCTTTTAGGAATTCTTCACTTTCTTGATAATTTGATCTTTGATTTTTTTGAATTCACCACCTTATTTGATTTGATTTCTTGGTATCTTCAACTTTTTGAATTTCTTGGAATTTTGATCTTTTGATCTTCACTTTATTTGCTCCAAAATTCTTCAAACTTTTTCGTAATTCTCTCTTCTTTTTTTTACATGTACCTCTCTTTTTTCACTCAAAACCTACATGCTTAAGCAGAGGCGCTCAACCTCAACCTTTATTGGTTAATGATAATAATTTTCCTGGATACATTTCAGGTTTAGGCTGCTAAACATATTGCATCCTTCAAACCGAGCGGGGTTATGTTTTTGTTCCATGATTTCACTAAAATAAGGGAAACCACAAATGCACTATAACGTATATTGGCTCAACTAAACATTTGAATTCTCATCGGATCATTTCATACAATATTAGCAAAATTTTAAATTATCACTAGATTTTTCTAAATTAAACTATTATTTCAAGTTTTCTTTTAAATTTTTAAATTTCCCTAAATCTAGCAATTTCCAACTATTATTTCATTTTTATAATTTACTTTTACCGACCCCCTACCCCACACTTATTTCATACAATGCCCTCATTGTATGCTAAAACAAATTAAGAACATAAAAAGGGAGAAAAAGGAACAAACTCCCCTAGGTAGTTGTGGCGAGATCGAAAGGGGCTGCTACAGGTTGCTTCAAATATTGCTGAAAAACTGAACACTGGAACTGCTGCTTCTGAATTTGCCGTAAAATAAAATCAAGACCGCCATCTTCAAAAAAAAAATGTGGTGCAAAAGATCGCAAACAAATGCAATGTATAAAAAATATGACGTGGAAAAGTGTCGACCACGTCGTCTCGTCAAAAATGACATGCTCTACTCGCGATGAAAAATCCCCCATAACATAGGAAAGTGTCAACCATGTCGTGGCAGTCGGAACAATACTTCTTCCTCGCGTCGAAATACAACTCTAACAAAGATGCACCCCACACTTATAACAAATTGTGGGTCTTGACTATAATCTTCGACTCTCAAACCGCTCTCTCTAGCAACAGTCGGACCTAGCTGCTGAACTTACTGCCAGCTTCCTAAGGGCGAATATTCTGCAGAAATCTAAACAACCATAGAGCATCAACATGGAAAAAAAAAAAACAAACTAAATCAAAGTTTAATTACAAACCAAATACTACTAAACTAAAAATAACACAAAACAAATAATAAACAAAATAAAAAGGATCACTCGTCATCTCCATCATCATGTGGCTGTGTCCCATAAGTACCGGCCCCATCAAATCGTGACTGGAATGGTGGTGGAAAGGGAACCGAATACTGAAACCCCTGGTGGGCAAAGAATGCATTCAGCGCATCCCCATACCACTGCTGTTGCCTGTCCACATGTGCAACATACTCGCTAAGGTGCTGGACCCTCATGTCAAGACAATCAATACCCTGAGCCAAGTAGCGCATATCAATCTCCCGCTCAAGTCCCTGCTGCGCTCCCCGAGGAGCAGGTCTACGCCGCTGGACCCGTCTCGGCTGTGGCTCGGCGGCACCCTCCTTATCTGCCACATCATCTGCTCGAACCCTCAAAACACCATCACCACCCCGCTCTAATACGCGCATCGACTCCAACAACTGAAGACTCATCGGCCTCATGTCGTGAAACACCATCGATCTCGTGATCTCACGTGTCAGCAACTGATATGATCGAGCTAACCGTGTGATAAAATGCCCTCCGCATATCGGGCTGTCCCCCCGAAGTCCCTTGGCCCTCCGTCCCAAATATGCAGCTAAAGCAACTGGAAGGTTCAGGTGCCTCCATGGAGTTACTAGTGCCCATAGGAAATATAGGTCCGTCGAAGGCACTCTCTCACTGTTCTTGTGATGCGTGAGAGACATAGAAATCAACCGGTGCAACATTCGGTATGTAGTAGACTAAATCATCCCCCCTCGAGCAGTAGATGGTGTACAAACTGCCCCTGTAATCTCGGCCCAAAAAGTGTTCTCGTTATAGTCATATGGCCGCTCCGTAAGACAATCAGCAAGGAATGCCAGGAAGTGGACACTCCTCATCTCATCCGCTGTGTAAATACCCACCCGAGTCGCAAGCTCTATCACACTGCATTCCCGGTTCACTCCTCCCAGTCTGAAAGCAAAGGCTGTCCTATCATCGATTGCCTTCCTAGGATCATAGGAAACTGTAGCATAGAACTCCAGCAAAAACTCCCGATATACAGGATCCTGGATCCTGAACAAACGCGCCCATCCCTGGCACACAAACAAATCCACACCACTCGCGTCCGAGTGCGTGTATTGCAAAAATCCCTGGATCAATGCAGCTAGTCCAGTCTTGGTAGCCAATTCCCAATCGAATGATGGTGCTATATCAATCTCTTTGGTGAGAAGCAAACTCAAGTTGGTGACATAACGCGCCCGGGTAGCATCCTTCAGCGTTTGCGAAAATTGTAAAAAACGATGATCGATCACATCCTCGGGTGGGTTGGTTCTTTGCGTCCTTCGATCCATTATCTGCACATATTAACACAAAACCAAACCAATTATCACAGCATTAATAGCT